TGGGTCCCTTTTTCTTCTTTTTGGAGCATGGGATTTACACAGAGAAAGGCAAGTCAGCTTGTTGATATTAATTCAATTAGAAGACCGTTTCCAGGGAATATGCTTAGCTCGCAAACTTTTGGAGTTGGGACTGTCTTTTGTTCTGTGTTAGTGCCAGGTGGCCTTGGTCTCTAAACAGGAGTTCTGGTTGCACTAATAATAAATAGTCTTTAAAGATTATAGTAATTCTTGATTTGGAGGTGACAAAGAGGTGCAGAAAGTAAGCCAGTCATTTATAAAAATTCAGCCTAGGCTGGCTTAGCCTTTTCAGTGCTGTGAGCCAAATGTCAGCTTTGGGGCACCTCTGTAAGCTGATCTCTGGAGCTCCATCAGAGCAGGGTTCTCCTCCAACACAGGTGGGCTGACAGTTTACAGAGTAAGTGTTTGGGCATGTGGAGGTGCTCGGGGAGGTAATATGCCAGCTGACACAGTCCTGGCAGCCAGCTCTGACTCATGAGCTGCTGCTTTGATCTGGCCTTTTCATTGCACTCATGACAGCTGCTCCATTTTTTTCAAACGTTGATAAATTTCTCATTTTCCCCTGTATTTGTGTAACTCGCGTAATCGCTATAAAGTGACTTGAGAGTTCTCTGTAAGTGTTCCATAATCCGTGCTTGGGAGTTGTGTCATCTTGATTAGGTGTGATCATGTAAGGTCTTCTGATTAAGGTTTTGTTTCTGTTCCTTGGCTGAATGAGAACTGAGACACTTAGGGCAGAAGCGTAGATGCTAGCAGCATTGCCTTCCTGCCCACTCTATCAGGGCAAATGCCACATGTTCAGGTGGAATCTTCTAAAATGAATCTTCAGCGGACAAGCTTTCAGTACAAACAGGCAGTGGAATATTAATTACGAGTCAGTATGAATGAAATAGGTGTCAGTCATATACTGTAGGCAATCACTTACTACAGAAATGCACAAATATGTAGCACTCAATTGTTCGTTTGCTCTCGTGTAAGAATAACACCACAGTTGAGCTACAGTCTTCACGTTAGCACACAAAAGACATGCAATAGGGTCAAGTAATACACATATGCATACTGTCGTGGTTTAACCCCAGCCGGCAACTAAGCACCACACAGCTGCTCGCTCACTCCCTCCCAGTAGGATGGGGGAGAGAATCGGAAGGGTAAAAGTCAGAAAACTTGTGGGTTGAGATAAAGACAGTTTAATAAGTAAAGCAAAAGCTGCGCACGCAAGCAAAGCAAAACAAGGAATTAATTCACTCCTTCCCATCGGCCGGCAGGTGTTCAGCCATCTCCAGGAAAGCAGGGCTCCATCATGCGTAACGGTTACTTGGGAAATCAAACGCCATCACTCCAAACGTCCCCCCCTTCCTTCTTCTTCCCCCAGCTCTATATGCTGAGCATGACGTCATATGGTGTGGAATATCCCTTTGGTCAGTTGGGGTCAGCTGTCCCGGCTGTGTCCCCTCCCAACTTCTTGTGCACCCTAAAACATCGGTGTGTTATCAACATTGTTCTCATCCTAAATCCAAAGCACAGCACTGTACCAGCTACTACTAGGAAGATTAACTCTATCCCTGCCGAAACCAGGACACATACAAATTATATTATATTGCAAAAATTATGTTTCTGTTTCTCTTTGAATTGATGATTTAAAAAAAATATTAAGGGGCCAGGAATTTGCAAGGAAATTCCATTGTATAGTGTGCAAGTTGTGTACATTTTGGAAACATAGTAGTAAACTGTAAGGCTGAATACAGACCCTTTTTTTATTACAAAGAGATGAAGGGCCAAAATCGGAGCAAGAAGAAGAGACCCTTATAAAGGGGGGCACATAATTCATAATTCATTCTAAGGTGTGTGTAGAAAACTGAGGATTAGCCTGAACAGCCAGGAAAAGCTGGACCACACACAAGGTTCAAAGACAGAAAGAGCAAGCTACCTTTACTCAGAATCTATGGAAAAAACATTAGCAATACCTTCATCTACTTGTGGAAACACATCGCGCTAATTTGCTGTGCTCTGCTCCACCTCTTAAACCACAAGTATCGGTTTAAAGTTGCTGCAGTCGCTCTCAAAAGCCTGTGTGGCACTGGTTGTCCTTTTTTTTGGAGTTATGCTCTGACAAGTTGTTCCAACAAGCGTGAGACTTCAGGGGAGCACCTGGCCAAGGTCACTGTTCCCATGTCTCAAGAAGGGCGTGAGGCCATGAACTTCACAGCTGTCAGAGGTAAAAACATGCCTTGCCTCCCCAGCCAACTGCTTCCAGTCTTACTCTCATCTCACGTGAATGTGAAGAAATGTAATCAAGCCTGTTTATCACCGAAGGAAGGAAAGAAAAAAGCCCCTACTTGTGGTCAAAGGGAGCAATCGGGTAACACATTCCGGGATCTAAGACGACAAGACCTAAGAAGAGAGTTACTTGTGTACTTGACCTGAGTGGTTAACCAAAAATCAGCCTTGCAAGAGTATGTTGTTGTAGTAAGAAATTGCTGATGGAATCAGGTAATTGTTTGATGCTGTTATGATTCTTTTCAAAGGCTGCACAGACAGTCCTGATCCCTGAACACAGCAGAAATGTGACAGCAAGGAACAGTACTTTTTCTGTATCTCCAAGTCCTTTACTAGCCCTTTCTATTCCCTGTAAAAAGGGAATTCCTTTAACATAAAAGTCACTTTTACGCAGTCACTAAGCCTGCCATACAGTTCATTTTCCTACTGCATATGTTTGACATCTGTAAGAAATATTGTTGTACATGGTTTGAATATATAGGCCACCATTCAAGCCGTGCAGAAAATCTGGAGGAGATGGCAGAAGCTCAAGACATCTGAACAGAACTTTTACTGTTAGACACGTATGTGGGGTTTCAACCAGAATGATCCTGATTAGCTAAAAAAGAAGAAAAAAAAAAGATAAAGTATTTCTGTCTTAAACATTTAATGGTGGGCTCATTCACTACGTTATAGAGCGGAAGCAGTGGGGCTGAACAGCAAATGTTTCAGCAGTGCAATTCCAGTCTCTCACATGTTTAAGTCTGGGAAAAATTCCATGATTTCTTCCTGTGCTCTGATACCTTAGGAACAATAGGAAATCATCAATTCCAATTTTAAATTTGTCAGTAACTTTCCTGTCTTCTAGTGTAAAGCAAATGAATCATCCTTTTTTTTTTCCTAATATGCATCAGAAATTTAATCTATTAATTTGTAATGATCTCTTATTTAGGCAAATAATTTTCTATATGTAAATTTTATTCTTTATTTGAAAAAACACTTCCCTATTTTTAATTTTTTTTAATGATAAAAGAAAGACAATATAAAATGATTTTTAAAATTATAAAGACAATATAAAACCAGACAGGACTACCAGGCAGCTCTGCAGACCTCAAATCCCTGAGTAGGATTCTCTGTCCCGGCCTCAGAGCAGATTACAGGTGCAGTATTAAGGGCCAGTTCCCAAGGGTCTTTCTTCATACATAAATTAACTGGAAAGCAGTGGTGGGGGGTGAGGAAAGAAGTGGGTATTGGCAGTGTTAGGAGATCTGATCTGCTTCTGTCTGGATGGAGCAGTTAAAGAACTGCTTAATGATTTAAATTTAAGGACACAGTCCTGTAAGGTACTGGATACTCTCAACACTTATTTATTTCAGTATTTTGTGAAGGAACTGAGGATCTGGAAGAAGAACACCTGAAATACAGAGAGTTGCACTGACATTGTGCCTGGATCCTGGTTTGCAGTCTGGCCTTGGGGCAGAGCAAAGTCTCTGGTCAAGAAACTCAGGCATGGGCTGAATACGATCCCAGACCAGAGCTCAGCTTTTACAGACTAGCTCCAGCTCCCCAGGGCTTGGCTCACCTTGGCCACCCTGCTGCTGAGCTTTGGATACATCCTTAACGCTCCTGTACTCGGTCTCGATACCCACCTACCAGACCAGCCCTGTCCTCAGCGTCTCACTGCGAAGTCCACTGGCTGGTGGATTACATCTCTTCTCTCTCTTTTTTGGAGCTTATCTCTGGGAGTTGTGTTGGCTGCCCAGAAGGTGGGAATCTAGTGGGTGGAAGAGATAAAAGTCTCTGTCACTGTCTGGAAGGTTCTTTGGGTGATAGATTTTCTATGTGAACAAAACCATGAAATCTCATTGTTCATGACAGATACGGTCTTCAAAGATTGTCTGGCCAGTGGAAATATAAAATAAAAAATAAAACCCCTAAATTGGTCTCCTAAGTTGCCCAGGACCTGAAATAGTCCTCTTGCAAGTGACTGCAAGGAGTGTATTCCATGTTGTGAGGGTTTTACGGAGATTGGCTGTTAAGCCATATCCCATCTCTGCTGGTTTACCGTTTAAAGAGACATCTGGCAGAGTTCTGCCTTCTCTAGCCACCCCAGAGCAGTTTCAGCAATGCTTTCAAAATGGTGTGAGTGCCAGAGGTGATACAAAAGTGTATTGGCTGCTAAGCTCAGGTTTGTTCCTGCCAGAATATAGCATGGATACAACCAGAGTAAGCAAAGACAACTTGAGGTGATGGTTTACAGGCACCTGATCTTTGCCATTTGGTTCAGCACACCTAAGCCTGAATGCAGCTGTGGTTACTAAACACTGTGGATGTAGCCAGGACTGTATTCGGCTGAAAGTGGGTGGAATCACCGTCATCAGCCCTGCAAATGGCTTTTTTCCACTTTTCTGGTCTAATGCTACCCATCCCAATTCTCTCCCATGGGATGGGGAAGACGAGGCAGAGAAACTGTCAGCAAAACAGCATAGATGCCCCATATTCTTAAGCTTCCATGCCAGACCTCTTATTTTTCACAAGGTGCCTGTTTTTACAGGTGAAATGTATTGATTCCTCTGCTTTGGGAAAGGTCTTTTAGGCAACTAACAAAGGAGGCTGTTAATTACAAAGAGGTAGTTCTATAGGGCATACTTTGCAGGGTGTAGGTGAGAACTGTCTTTTCTCAAGCGATTTTTAGCTCCATTAATTACAAACCTCTAATCTAACAGCATCCTGTGGAGTGTCAGTCAGAGATGGAGATGGATGTGGAGGTGGAGGTGGAGTCGGAGTCCTCCCCAGACCAGGAGGAGGTGGCTCTGTTCAGTGCGATAGCCTGTCCCAGGGGTTGTGTGGAGATTGATCTGGAAGGTGAGCAAGACTGGGAGGTGAGTCACATTTGCTAGTCAGACTAGCAAGTCTTTACTTTTTTTTTTAGCACAGAGAAGAAAAGAGTAAAGAGGGAGGGAGAGAGAGGAGACGAGGAGGAAAAATGGGGAAAGATGGCAAGGAAGCACTGATCAGGTCGACATCTGTGCTGCAGCGGGCTGGGCTCTCCAGTGTCAGTTTGCCAGCGTCTGTAAAACCATGTTACATCTTTTGGTTAATTTTTAAAGTAGGTTCTAATTATTTATCATGTTTTTGATAGATCAGAAAGTAGTGTTGGTGTTATAAAAACTCTGGAAAGAGTAAGCAAATTAAAACAAGACAGCTGTTCCAGGCTTTTCCAGCCTCCCAAGAAGACTGCTTGGACTGCAGCACAACGCACGCTGCTTTTCACTGGCATGGGTCCACTATTTGTGTCACAGCCAGACAGCTTGCATTAGAGTTTGGCCCGAATGTGAAAAAGCCCTGTTATTTGAATTTAATTGAGAAATATGGAGTCACAATTCGGGTTTTAAATCTTTTTAATTAGTAAAAGGTTAGGACAGAAAATTCAGTATAGCTGTTACTGCTGAATCTGGCCAGGGCTTGGAAGGTGGTTGTTCAGCAGGTGGGTGCTTACAGCACCCCTCTTCATCCTTTGAGGGTGATGAGCACCCTCCAGCCCTCCTGGCTTCCCTGAGAGCAAGCGTGCAGTCTCTCCTAGCACTAACGTCGTATGACAGGTTAAACTTACAAGTCATGAGGGTAGGTGCCTGCCTGGGACCCAGGACTATGTTACAGCTGTTGACAGAGCGTCATATTCAGAGAGGTCTGATGCCAGGTGAAATCCAGAGCAACTCTATTTCCCACCAGTAGAGTTACATCAGTGTAAATCCACCATAGGAAAAATCAGAATCGAGCCCAATGGGGAAAAACTTACTGTAAAGTGTAAAGAGGTCGTAAGTCTTATTCAAGTTCCACTTGAGATGTGGAAGTTTTATTCTGGATCTGGTGTCTGGCTGCTTTGGGTGCTGAAGCCATCTTAAAAATTACCTAAGGATTCCCTCATGTGAGTATCTCTCACCAAACACTTTTCTACCTCTCAGTGAACTGCAAATTAACATCTGAAACAGAGCACTCAGCCTTCTGCCGCAGCATAATTTAGAGCAGTTTAGGAAGCGGAATTTTAGTGTTATACTACAGTTATACTACAAGGTGTCTTGGTCTTTACCTAGACCAGGACTGAAGGGGGGGGGGAAATAAATATATGTTTAGAACTAAGATTGGGATTCAGGATTTTCAATGATTTGTTCATCCACCTAAAGAAATTTGAGGACAACCAAAGTTATTTGCAAGCATGAGTTGAATTTGGCAAACAGCTTCAGATTAAAAAAAAAAAAAAGAAAAAGAAAACAAATGACAAAAAAAAATCAAAATAGATCAGTTTGGCATTTCCTAAACCATTTCCTAAAGCTTTTTCAGACTAAATTCATAGGCACGCCTGAATGCAGCTCAGATAGCTGAGGAAGAGGAGGCCTGTTGCAGGGTGATAATCTACTTGCAAGCTGAAGTCCACCTCTAGGACAGTCCTCTGAAATGGGAGATCAGGTCGAATTCCTCATCTGGTCAAGTGAGAAAAAGGATTGGAGGGCAGCTCTCCTCCCTGTTGGAGATATAAGAGAGGACAAAGGAAAACAATAAATTTTTTTAGACTTGTTTTAAATTGATTAAAAAAGAGCTTCAGGTTAACTCAGGACAGTTTTTTTTCCAAAGCTAGGCAAAAATTATTTAGGTATCTCTGCTTAGAGCAGCATTTCTGCACAGCTCCCCTTAGCTGAGCCGAGCACAAGCACAGCCTACGTAAGTAACGGTACGTCCCTAGGTATGACGGACCACGAGCGTGGATGAAGGAATTACTGTATAGTCTTGTTCTTGATTTGGAATTATGGTAAACATTTATCTACTAATGCAAATCAGATTCAATCTATGAAGATTGATTTTCATATAATTTGACCTTGTCTAATAAGTCTTCTTGACCAGATGAATTACAGGGACTTTGCACTGATTTATTTTTGCTTATGCATAAAGTACTGTGTGCTTGTTCATTTATTATGCTTAGCACATCAGACTCAGGAAGATTATATTATTTGAAAATTAAATTTCATACATTCATATTTTAACGTAAACCTCTCTTCAGCTGTTTGACTTCCTACAGCCCTGTCCTCCAACGTGAAGAAAATCCATAGAAAACAAATGGCTGTTTTCTTAAGTCTGTATGTTAAATAATAATACCAGAACTGTCACTGATCTGTGCATACTCATGCTATGATGGAAGAAAAAGGCTAAGCAATATTAATGTTCCTCTAAGCATCTTACCCTAAACTGTGTCCACAAACATTGACGTGACTTAATTATAATTATACTGTTATTGTGTCACTACAGGGAGAATTTGCCAGTATTTGATTACCTTATCCTTATTCTGTAGTCATCAACATATTTCAGTTTCTATTACTCTCTACATTAACTCAATCCCAAATCCAGAAAATCTTGCAAGGCTGGATCCAAAGTTGCTGACATTAAGGGAAAGGCTCCCTTTCATTTTAACAGCCTGTGTATCAGGCTCTTGATGCCAACAGTATCTTAAGTTCTTGAATGTTTTTTAAACCATAACTATATCTGAAGAGAATTGTGTGAGGGGAAGATAATTATGACTGTAATTACTCTTTCTCATATTATAAACTTGTATTTCAGTTGAAATAATCTCATCTTGCTACTTTCTTTTGATTACCACGGTTCTTTTTCCCCCCTGTACTTGCTTACATTTGAAATTTTAAAAAATATCATATACTCATTTAATCAACTGCGCCTTTTAGAACATTTATGATTATAGTAAATTTGTTTCAACACTGACTTCTTCAGCATCTCCCTAGATACCTCTTTGCATCTATTTCAACAAACTGCAGCCCATTTATCATTATTAATTGTTTACAGTCCTTCAAGCGGTCCATGATTTATCTCAAATTATTTAATATAGACCTCTCATCTTTTAAAATATGAAGCTGAGTTATGTCATTTAGCCAATTATCTAAGTAAAGAGGGCGTGTGGTTATTCTGCTCATTGAAAAATAGTTGTGTTTTGGCAACTGTATGGTTGGACAATAGATATAGCCTCTATAAAACTCAGCTAGTCATGTGTGTGTATATATATATCTCTCTCTCTATATATATATCTCCTTCCAAGGAGATATATATATGTATATATCCTTCCAAGCAAGTAACAATAAAAACTTATTTGTCATATGATTTTTATATATATCTATACATACACACACACACATCTGGAATCACATTTACTTTTTTTTTTAAATAAAATTTTAGTGATATTAGAGTTAAGATGTTTTGAGATTCTCCACCTATAGGGCCACGTTTGTAGCACCATGATTCTGCAAAATATTTAAGCATGTTACAGCATGGAACTACACTGGTGTCAATAGAATGAATGTTCCTGAAAAGATGCATTTAAGGTCTTTGAGTGAGTTTGAGCTGCTTGAAGGCAAACCAGTTCTAAAACAACTGGATGGTTCTTCTATTAATGAAAGTGTGAACATTTAAATGGTGGATACCTGTTACTGACTTACCAGTGACAGAAGCAAGCATTGAGTCCTATAAGGAAACTATATCTCTTTCTTTTTTGTCATGATAGAGATCTAATTTTTAGCCCTTCAACTACTCATATTTTGAGATTGAATAGTGTACCTCAGAAGTGTATACTTTTAGCAGAAAAATATCCACATTTAGGAGGAAAAAAGTATTTCCCTGGAAGACTGATGAAAATTAAATATCAGGTGTTTGAAACTGCTCAGGTGTTTCGAAAGTTAAAATTCGCTGAAGGGAAAGGAATTTGTACCCAAGAGCTGGCAATGCATTAAAAATACATGGAAAAAACTGAAAAAAAACATAGGATGCATTGTTGAACCATATGATAAAATCAATTTCACAGTGAATCATGCAGCTCTGCAGCTGAGTGTTGATAACTCATGATTCAGCTGAGAGTCTGAGAATATTTTGTATTTTTTTTTAAAGCCCCAACTCTTAAATTCATATGATTACAGCGGGAATTCCAACTTTAATTAAATTGAAGTAAGTCCCTGCCTGCAGAACAATGCTACAAGACATCTTCATGTATGCTCTAAAGACTTAGAAATCAAAAGACAAATAGAAGTAACCTGTAAATTTTTGTTTGTGTGGACTTTTATTACTATTATTTTGCATATAAACTTTGTTTTGTCTGGAGACTGTTTTATTCAAAATGAGCAACAATCTACAATACTGAGCTAAAGAGGGGAATACAGTGAAATGAGACAACCTACAAAGCATTCTATTTACTTTAACACAGGATTGCAGAGTGACAAACCCTATCTCAGTAAACTAAAGCACTAGCGATAAAGGTTAATGAGGTAAGAGCAAAAATGTAATCTACCTTAATGCCGGTGAAAAGATCCACCCAACTGCTGTGTGTATCCAACTAATAAAATACAATCAACATGCACTACCAGCTGTGTGTAAGGAACCCAATAAATGATGGATCAACAGACAAATCATCTGTCTTTTTTGCCCTTTTATTTTTGCATAATATACTCAGTGACTTTATCAAAGAACAGGAGGGGTTTTTTTCCCCAGAATTACCACAAATTTATTTCCTTGAAACTTTGGGGTATCCTTTCAGCATTTGCTCTGATAGGTTCTGGGGTTCATACAGGTATATAACACATATATAAATAATGACAGCATTACTGAGGCTGCAGACTCAAGCACCCCAAAAATAGGAAGTGCCACAACTGAGGTTTTGTGTAACTCCAGTCTTTTATGAGCTTGTGTCTAAGTTTTGACTAACGTGGCTAGTAAACCTTAGCACTTGCACCTAATGTTGAAGATTGGTCTATTTAAGACCTAAAGAAGTGTTTTGTCCAAAACCTTTTTCTCCAACCGATATAATTTGATTTCAT